AATATCGGTGGGGTGGCCGATGTCCGATATTCAGTTTTAAGGCCGATACCGATAGGGGGCCGATTATATCGTGCATCTGTAATGAATTCTACTAAAGATAAATGCATGAATGAGTTTTTGGACATTAGTCCTGAAGATGTTCTTTAGGTGATAAAAGGCTGACTTAGGCTACGTTCACACAGCAGCCTGAAGTGACCCAAGTAAGATTTTTTTTTTTTTGGCTTATGCGACCTGGATCGGATCTTTTCATGGCTGTCTGAACAACACAGATCAGATTTTTTTTTTTTTTCCAATGCGACCCAGGCCACTTGGCCCTGTGGTCCTGAATGCGACCTGTGTCTGAACGGCCATGTCGCATCCATCCGACCCGAACACCATTAATACCCAACAAAGGTCACGATTCTGGGTCTTACTATGAAGACGTGGCAAGAAAAAAGACCATGGCGGACGGCGATGAGGAGAGCAGTATTTATGTTTAACCATCTTGAAAAGATTGTGTTTTTATGGTTGGGAAAGATCGCTAGATGCGGCCCAGCACTACCATCCATGTTTACTTCCATAAACACAGGCCTGCAGTGTGAACGTAGCCTTAGTAACGGCCTTTATGAGCCTCTGAAGGTTCAGGTCTGGCTTCATCCTGACACCAGGATTTCCGCCATAATCACTGGTTTCTAGCTGTAGTAACTGAAGCTGGGAGCGAACTCTGGGTTTCTCCTCTAGTCTGGAGATTCTTACATCAGTTTGGTTTTTATTCAGTCGTAGAACATTATGGTGCATCCACATATTGATCTGTTCTGAGCATCTAACAAACGCTCTGTTGGGTTATTTTACTTTTTTTTTGTTATTTACTTTTATTATCTCAGCCATGAGCTGATTAATCAAATATAAAACCTTTTCCTTTCCTAATCTTTTTTTTTTTAGCTGCGTTTATATTGACTTACCAAATCAAAATATCTGATTCTGTTGCTAAGAGTGTTTTTTATGACATTGAGAATGATTAACCTAGCCTTCCTGGGTCCTTCCTTTGTTTATGCAGTGTCCTCAGCTCTCTTCATGATCTCCATTATCTCTGCCAGTAAAGCCGTCCAGCTGCTGTGTCAGAGTCTAGCACTAGAAATGAAATGCTCACCAGGCAGTCTGATAATGTGGACACTACTATTACAAAGATGATGGTGATTTGCTGTGTTGTGCAGATCTAATTTAAAGGCGTTGAACATGTGGATAGAAAGGCTCGTTTCATCCGACTTCTAAAGTAAATGTTGACAAAGCTCCATGTGGATACTCTGCAGAGCAAGCACTGCTAAATCAAGATTCTCACAAAATTGAAGAGGTGTTCTGTCTACAGACCAGCGATGTGAATCTTTAAGATGATTTCCTGTCTTTTTGTCCTCTGTTTAACATTAAAGCAGTAGCACCCTGATTGCTAACAATGAAGATAATCCTCTACAGCTAACGGGTCACTCCTGCAGCCAGGGATGGGGCACAAATACATCA